CGTCCGTCTGCCGCAGTAAGTGGGTGATGCGCGTATCCTTTGCTGTATCGATAAGCTTCATATAAGCCTCCTCATCATCCGCCTTGAGTGCCTTCAAACGCTCCTTCGATATCCTCTCGATACGTTTCTGCTCCTCTTTCTCAGTGAACGCATGGAACGACAAAACGGCACGCCCCAGTTTGACAACCCGGTCCTGCGCAGAACGGTTTACAGCAATGACGTCCCTTCCGTGTTGACATATGACGCCGAGCTGCTCGACGTGCTTGTGTTTCGCACGCCTCTCGCGGTCGATACGTTGCTTGCGTTCCGCCTGCTCGGTCATGCGTGCATCTCTGAGTGTAGGCTTGCGGGCTCGTCTAAAGTCCACACGGTTGAGTGGGAGCAGAGTGCCTTGGATCAGGCGCTCCGCAACAACGGCGCGCATGACGCGTTGCTTCTCGAGCACCTTGAGGGACTTGAGCTCGATCATTGCACGTAGCTTCCCATGTGGAGACAACGCTGAGAGTTGCTGATTGTCATTGGCGGGCTCTTGCTTGTGCGAGCCGAGGATGACGTCCGCCAGAGAATCAAAGTTTCCATCACCGATGGTGGCTGGGATCTCCTCGAGCTCTTTAATGCGCTGTTGGACGCGTGCTTCGATGAAGCGATCACGCTCGTTGATAATCTGGTGTACGTCGAGGCCTGCGGGCATTATAGAAGGGATGAGGAGGCGCTGGAGGCGCGTTGCGACCATAGTGGGGTCGACGTTGGGTGGGCGCTCGAGGTGGGAGAAGGGAAGTTTGAATGCGTTGTACGGGTACACGCCGGAGTTGACAGCATCTTCAAGAAAAGGACCTTTGGGAAGATCAGCAGGGTCAATGGGAGGACCATGCTCTTCTTCTTTTATGACTTCAACTGTGACAGGTGTTTCAGTGGGTGGAGGCGGAGCAATGTGGCCTTTCTGTATTTTAGCCGCACTGTCGACTATACGAGAGGGCGCGTCTGGGCCTTGGAGAAGCTTCTCGAGATCTGGGACAGCGGTGTTGGGAATGCGGATTGCATGCTGTAGGTGGTCTGGGATGGGGGAACCGCGGGTAACGAGTCTGAAGGCCATTATTTGAGCACGTAGAGCAGATATTTGATCTGGAGTGAATGACACGGGGGTAATGGAAGGTGCTGGAACAGACGGTGGTGCAGAATGGCCGTTGAGAGCAGCACCATTAATGAGCCCATCAGTAGATGGTTGTGGTTGTGGTTGGTGGCCGTTCGATTGTGACTGGTCTGCGTGTGATTGTTTAGCTAAAGATCTTGAGTTTTCAGCCTCGTACAAAGATTTCAAAAGACTGACTCATTTGTTGTTGATGTCCTTGTGGATAGACATTGACTTGCTTGACGAGCTGTGCAAGTTCAGGGGAGGTCTCCATTGAGGCGCCTGATTGTCTGAGTTCTTTAATGCGCTGAAAGGCGGTAAAGACGTGTCAATCTTTATAGTAGATTAACACTGACCTGAAGAATCATATTATAACGTTGCGCATATGTTTGACGCTGAGCAGGCGATAACTGTTGCTGCTGTTGCTGGTTCATTGCAGACTGCATCTGTTGATTATTAGTGAATGAATTTTGTTGGTGACCTAACGGCTGTATTGGGAGTTGGCCTTGCATGGCCATGGGGTGGCTTGTCCGGCCTACTAGTACGGTGCCTCTCGGCTCCTCCTCAAGAGGTCAAAAACAGAAGAAGGAATGTCGTGGGAAATAGTTTTGCGCAGCCCGTTGTCAGCAAGTCACGACGGTCACGTGCTTCATCCCTAATTGACGCGTTTCTGAGTCTCAACCGACGTGTTTGCTATCAATTTACCACCACCATGCCAGCTGAACGTGCAGGAGTATGTTTATTTTTTTCATAGTAATTCATTTCTCAAATGTTTGACAGTACACTGTCACAATGTTTCTCATCGACGTCTCTTCGTCGATGGGTGCAACAAGATCCGTGGAATTACCCCCTACACCCAACGGGGAGCAGCGCACCACAGAGATGACCAACCTTGAATGGGCATTGCAATTCGTAAAGCTCAAGATCCAAGAAATGGTACGTTGAATAAACAACAACTTGCTCTTATCAACTCACAGCAATACAGATTTTCAATGGCCGCAAAACGGACCAATGCGGCGTCATCCTATTTGGCTCTGAAGGTACACTTCCATTTCTTGTACGCATCACGAGTGTACTAACTATATTTCAGAGACGGAAAATATTATTCACGAAAAGAACGGCGGATACCAACATGTATTAGAATACATTCCTATCGCACAACCAAACTCAGCGACCCTCGCCAAGCTCGACGCCCTCCAGCCTTCGGAGTACTCGGGAGATCGTGTGTACTTACTAACTCCTTGTGGTTATTATGTCTTATTCTCTGTAGCTATTGACGCTCTCATCGTCGGCATCGAAACACAGGACATCTACCTCAACAAGAAGCGCACATGGACGCGCAAAATTGTCATCGTGACAGATGGCCAGAGTCCGATGGAAATCGAGGACTGGGAGGCGACAGTCAAGAAAATGAATTCTCTTGATATCTCTCTCACTATCATGTATGTTACTCGTTCAATTTTCTGTTCTTGCCCTGATTTGTACTTCATCAGCGGTATCGACTTTGATGATGACGAATTTCCTTTTCACGAGGAGGACAAGTCTACCATCAAGGTACATTTCCTCCCTTCCAGCTTCTTAGATCTAATCTATTTTCCCGTCAGGTCGAAAACGAAGCATTTTACCATAAGCTCACCTCAGCCCTTAACAATGGCCTCGTCGGAACATGTGTCTTTGCTCTCCAAGAAATCACTAGACCAGACATGAAGGAAACCAAATCCGCACTCATGGGGACTGTTCTCCGCCTCGGTGATGTCGACGTGCGACCCGAGGAAGCCATCGAAATCCTCGTCAAAGCCAGCAAATGCACAGCCCTTGCGCGCCCCAAGAGCTGGAAAAAGTTCGGGCGACGCGAAAAAAATGACGATCAAATGCAAATCGATAAGGATGAAGATAAGACGGTGTTTGCACAGCTGAAGATGCGTAGCGAGTACTACATCGACCACTCAACACAAGGGGGAGAAGAACAGGATAAGATGGATACGAGCAGTGATGATGAGGAAGATAAGGACAAGAACCTCGAAAAGGTGGAGAAGGAACAGCTCATCAGGGGCTTCAAATACGGCTCCACATATGCCCCGTGCCCTGATGGGCAGTTCCCGCGCTTGAACACAAGAAAGGGTATCGACATTTGCGGATTTTTCCATGCGAAGAACGTACGTACACTTTTTGTTTCCATGTGTGTAGCTCACGCAGATACAGTTCCGCCGGGAACTGGCGATGGGTGAAGTCCAGTATATATGGGCAGACCCCGGTGCACCACAGCAGCAGGTCGCGCTCTCGTCCATAGTACAAGCCATGTATGAGAAAGGCGTCCTCGCTATCGCGCGCTGGGTCTCTAAGGATGGTATGGACCCAAAGATGGGCGTTTTAGAGGCACGCGTTGATCCAAACATTGATTATCTGCTGTGGGTGCAAGTGCGTTTCCCTCCATCCTTCTCTACCCTCCACCTGAACCAAACTTCTTCTTGGTTATGATAGATGCCCTTCGCAGACGATGTCCGGAAATACACCTTCGCCTCCCTCGAGAATCTTGTATCAAAAAATGGCGAATCAATTACAAAGCACCCTTACCTACCCACAGAAGATCAACTCCAAGCCATGGGCAGATTTATCGATTCCATGGATATCATGGATTCAGGGGAGAAAGACGATGAAGGGTGCGCTTTCAATTCACCAGACGCTTTTCTTTGTTGTGCTGAACTAGTTTCAAACAGGAAACCAGTTCCATGGTACGACACCCAACAGTCCTACAACCCCGCTATCCATCGCACGAAACAGGCGCTTTTTCACAGTGCAGTCGTGAACGATATCACCAGTAACCCCCTTCCGCCACCCCATCCAGAACTCCTCAGATACATCAACCCTCCTCGGTGGGCGCTCGAAGCTAGCAAAGACGCAATTGCAGAATGCAAGGCAGTGTTCAAAGTCAAAGAAGGTTTGCGCTTAATTACTTCCCATTCCATGATTCACCTGATATTCATACTTATCTCATTCACCTAGTACCCAAGAAAGCCACAAAAGTCCGCAAAGATGGTCACGTCCGCGCCGTGGACGAAGACGAAGACATGCTCCTCCTTGACAAAAAACCTGCCGCGTCCCAAGTACCCGTCTCCCTCGAACTCGGCGCACGCCTAGCCAAGAAATCCGCCGCTTCAGACTCTGAGACGGAAGAAGAATCAGACCAGGAGCCACTTCTGCTCGAAAAGCGGCCATTTAACGCGCTACCTACCCCAGAACGCTCGATGTCGCCTGATGTGGACCCTGGTCGTGCGCCGGGCCGTATCATAGGCTCGACTTATCCTCTGCGTGATTTCAAGACAAACCTTGCACAAGGGGACGTGGTGACGAAGGCTGTGGAAGATATGGGCGTCATAATCAAAGAGGTGGTATTGAGGCCGTTCGCGTCGAGGCGGCATAAAGAGATGATTGAGTGTATGATCGCTATGCGGGATACATCTTTGAAGGAGGATGAGATTGATACGTGGAATGCGTAAGTACTTGAATCGCCTGGACACTCACATGCTCATTGTTACCAGTTTCCTGAGGAACCTGAAGGGATCGTGTCTCAAGGAAGCCGGAAACTCTGAGTTCTGGCAGGAGGTGCAAAAGCTTGGCCGCAGCCTCAGTCTCATTAGTGAGCCCGAGGCAATGAAATTGGGGGGTCAATCTGAGTTTTCCGAGTCTGCATCTGAAGCAGTAAGTTGATTTTAACTGTCGATGAAGGTTGCCTGACGAGCCCCTTGCATCTTAGTTCATCACGCAATGATTGTGGAGCTTCCTTTTTGATGTAGTAGCTGTCTGACTATATGCTACCCATTTGCTTTGTGTATGTTTTACTGTACTTGATTTCATAAAAATTTGTCGTACCTTACTTCCGTCCCCACCACCCCTCAAGCAAACTGCTAAGTCCACCCTTCGCAGGCGCCTGTGGTTCTGGTGTTTCGGGTCTCACCACCTCCTCCAAACGTGATTTCGCAGGTACGGCTTGCACGGTAACGAGTACCGGTGCTGGTGCCTTCCCAGCCCTCTCCAGCAATCTATCCATATCCAGCTGCACATAGTTCAATGCGATGTCGAAAAACAATGGTTTCTTGTACGTCTTGTTGTCCGCATCGATGGAACCGCCGTTGTACGCAAACCATTCATTTTTGATCGTCAGGCCATCTTGAGTGATGGTAGATTCTAGAGCGTCTAGATCAGAAGACGTGAGTGGATAGTAGGGGGGTGATGCGGAGGAGATAAGGTCTTCTGAGAAGATGGACAACGTAGAACGCGTTTCACGGAGATAAATGGTTGCGTGTTGGATCAATGAGAGCGCTTCGGCGTATTTTTTCACGGCTACATAGCATTGTGCGAGATAAGAACATCTTGAAACAGTGTCAGTGCATGGAATTGATACGAAAGAAGTTGATCTTTACCTGCGGGCTTTGGTAAATGTGAGACGAGCCTCAACAGCAGCCGCTAGGTCAGGGCTCTCGTCCACAATGCTCAAGTTGCGCATCTGGGCAAGACCTTGGATAACAGTATCCAGGAGCTTAACCACTGCTGGATAAAGACGGGCGTCGACATGCTCTTTCTTTGGCTTTGGAGTGGTCTGGGGTCGATGCGAGGTGAGCAGAGCAGAGACTAGGAGAAGATCACGCTGGATACGACGAGAGATCAATTGGTAGACAATGTAAGCGTGAACAAATTGGATATCACGTGTGCCGGCCGCAGAGGTAGATGAACTTCCAGAATTCTATCGAGTTGATCAGTGATAGACACGAATCGACGAGGGTGACGGCACACCTGTTGTGCTTCAACCAATTTCCTGGCCACTTCTTCAGCATCGCTAAGAGCGAGGAGAATAGCATCATATGCGGCAACGCCCTTCTTGGACCCATGGCCACCAGACTTGCCCTTCCTCCCCTTATCGCTAGCGCCCTCTGCCCCAGCAGGCTCGCGTGACTGTGTAATCTTCGCCTCTGCCTCTTGCACCCGCAGCAACACATCCACCAACTCTGGATTGCGCACCGGCACCGGCAGTCCTTCCCACATCAAAGTCGCCAACTTTTTCCTCCCTTCACCTTTCCCAGCCACCTCTCCCTCCTGCCTAAATTTCTCAATCAGAGCATCGCATCCCTCTACGATCTCCCCTCGATGCTTTTCCGACAACTCAGCAGCGATCGCATCTACATCATAAGCCCTCTCCCTTCCAAGCTCATGTGCGCAATACCTGATTTCAGGGCCAATGTCATCTGCAAATACTGTTGCGAGAGCTTGGTCTCTGCTTGTCGCAGCACGATCAACAAGTTCGTCGAGAAGGTGCCTTGCAACGCTAAGCTGGATCAATGCGTCCTCGAAGTTATCCCGGTATCGCAGGAAGCGACCGTTGAGGATGAGTGTGTAGATAGTGATCTGCATGAGCCCTTCTGCGGAGAGATGTGAAGACGAATATAGAGATTGACAGTGCGATAGAAGTTGCGTCGACCAGTGTACTGCACGGCGGAAGCGCCCTGTAGCACTATGCCGCAGGGTTCCAGCCTGGTCTTCATTGGCTGGCTGAAGGGACTGGGTGATGAGATCCTGAGAGTAAGCCCAGGCACGTTCTGACTCAAGGAGTAGAAGCTCCAAGCTATTCGAGATTCATTAATTCTTGGTATGTGAAATGTGATATAGCACGCACTGTCCATCCTTGATGTTATCTGTGCTTAAGGGAGGCAGTTTCTTGAATTCTCGGCCCTTGCCATGGGTCATTTTGAGGGTAGACCGAAGACGATGTGTCCTATTGGCGCAGTGCTTCCTGTATCGCGTGAAATCATTATACCGGAGACCATAAGCAGTCCGTTGTTCGTTGGCTAGTTGTAAAGCTGTTGGGGGGATATGAGTCTGACTCGCACTAATAAGTCTCGAGTAACTAACCTCTGAATGACAATGTGTTTTCTGACATGGTGTCCAGAGTGAAAGCTGAACACGTACTCTTGACGTACTAATTTTATTCTGCTGATGATGTAGAATGACGCAGTAGGGTATGGAAGCTGAAAGAGGTTGCTAGTCCAAACGCGGCTTGATCAGGCTTCACTGTACTCAGAGAAGTGCAATAAACTTCATCTTCTTCACAACTTTCGAGCATCTCAAATGGCAGAAGAAACATTACCACCAACTCTGCAAAATGTTTTAGATCAAAAATCCTTGAAATGGATATTCTGCGGTATGTGCTTCACTATCACAGCCACTTACCCAGCTCATTGACACCCTGGGGTCGACTCGGATGCGATGCAGGTGGTAAGGGTGGTGTCGGTACGTGGCTCCTTGAATCTAAACTATTATAAACCTGATTCATACGTACAGGGAAAACAACTACCTCGTGTTCGCTAGCCATCCAACTTGCTCAGTGCCGAGAATCGGTGCTGCTCATCGTACGTTGTCACATCTACGGTCTCAGAGGCCGATGTCCATCCTCAGCTATAGTCCACCGACCCAGCACATAACCTATCGGATGCTTTCGGACAGAAGTTCTCAAAAGACGCGACAAAGGTCAATGGATTCGATAACCTGTCCGCTATGGAAATCGATCCTACAAGTGCAATCCAGGAGATGGTCGAGCAATGTACGTGTTGACATCTCACAACACCACTCTTGTCCTGCTGACGTTTCACAACCACAGCTGATTCAAATGGCATGATGGGCTCGATGATGCAGGATCTTGCATTCGCCATTCCTGGTGTTGACGAGGCAATGAGTTTTGCTGAGATCATGAAGTTCGTCGTCGCCTAACTTCCGAGTTCCATTGATTAAACAATGTCTTCACAGACACGTCAAGTCGATGGAATATTCGGTCATCGTGTTTGATACCGCACCGACAGGTCATACCCTCCGTTTCCTTTCGTTTCCTACTGTACTGGAGAAGGCCCTGGGAAAACTCAGCACGCTCAGTGGTCAATTTGGGCCCATGATCAGACAGATGTCGAGTATGATGGGCGGCCAGCAGGATTCTCAGGAGGATATGTTTGCAAAGCTAGAATCTATGCGCGCTGTGATTAACGAAGTCAACACGCAATTCAAGGACCCTGTACGCCTCGTCATTGAACGCACCGGAACTATCTCATATTGTTTTCAGGAAAAGACAACTTTCGTTTGCGTTTGCATCTCCGAGTTCCTGTCCCTGTACGAGACGGAGCGTCTCGTTCAGGAACTGACGGCTTATGAGATCGACACGCATAACATCGTCGTCAACCAGCTGCTCTTCCCTAAGACATGCAAGTATCCGCTCCTACTCCACGTAATCTAATTTTAATATTGTTTTAGCATCCAATTGCGAGCATTGTCAAGTCCGAAGAAAGATGCAGCAAAAGTATCTTGCCGAGGCCCACGAGCTCTACGACGAATTCTTCCATATCGTCCAGCTACCATTACTAACAGAAGAAGTGCGCGGTCCGGAGAAGTTGAAGGAATTCAGCAAGATGCTGGTAGAACCATACGTGCCTAACGTTGATTGATAGGCTCCGGTAAAGCACGGAGCGCGTATAATAGACCCTACTTTTCGGACGCTGAGCTGCTTTATACCTGTGATCGAATGGCAAGCATCTCCTGACATTATTGGTACTAATATTGTGCTGGAATCTCCCTTCGTGAAAAGATTGATAAGCTTGTATAGACTCCCACCAAGGTGATTAAGCCTGCAGCTATCAACTTATCTCTTCAAATCTGTCGAACACGCGTTACCAACTAGTTACCAAGCTGTCTTTCTCACCAACGCCCGCAAATAAACAGGCGGATTAAAGTCGGGCAGGGCTTGTGGAAATCAAGCATGCAATCACAGAGTCTACAAATGTCATCTGTGGGGTCCGAGTTCCGTCATAGCAAAGATTCCATGAATAGACCCGAAAAACTGGAATATGACTCCTCGCACTGCCCCGAAGATCCCTTTGGTAGTACAACATCTGCCTTTAGGCCCAAGATACATCCAACAACTACCAATACCCTCTACACCCTGATCATCAAGAAAAACATCAGTGTGGTTGACCATGAGTGACCGAGAATGAGAACATACGTATCATCTAATTGTTTGAGCAGATAGGCAGAACAGACGCCATAAGCCGACGGATATATGCAGTGCACCTGCCACTTACCGTCGTAGTGGAAACGAGTCTACACATCGAAAAAGTTCAGATGTTCCTATATAAAGTCTAATAGAGCGCCGAGACGTACCTTCTTTGGATTATCGGGTGCGTACCGAACGTACCTGTCATTGTCTACAGGCCTTCGGAGTCCACGTTATCAATGGAAGTTGCCGTTGAATGAAATAAGAGCTCACCGTTCCTTTGACTGTAACATGTTCCGTGTTGCTAAAACGGCTGTATCGTGAATACCGAGGAAAAACTCACTTTACATGATGCAAGCATACTCTGCAGTGTGACGCACACAGCAGAAACACTCAGAACTGGCGACCATTCTGTTCCGAGGATGGAAGCGCAAATCTACGATGCATCAGACATATCACAGCCCGCTGATTTCGGCATGTAGCGAACTCACATGTCCATTGGAGTACACATGCTAATCAACGATCAGTTATCACCGTTAATGTGAGCTATAGTTATACACACAGGATGCACAGGTGCCGTTGATTCCTGGTTGACGACGAACTGGACTGCAGGCGCCGAGATGGGGTAGCTTGGGTCAAAGCGAAACATGAGCTTGAATACCTCCCCCTGACCATATTTTTGTAAGGATCTATGAATGATGAAAGTGAACTCCTATCAGACCTGGTATAAACTTTCGCCCAGAATTTCTATGGAGAAGTACCACGTCTCGAAGTTGTCAGCGCTGAGTAGTGTGATGCCTGTAATGAACGATGGGTAGGTCAGTTAGATATTGGATGACACATAAAATTGCGTACCTGTAGGACATCCTTCTGTTTGTATTTCATTGAGCTCTTTGCGTAAACGGCGAGACGAGATTGAGGACATGCCAGTTGGAGTCCAAGTCTGATATATGTCCTTAACTGGTTTACTGAGAGTTAACGGTAGTCCAGATCGGGAAAGATGTAAACATACGCAAAGAACCGTCCCCCATAAGAACGCTCTGCAAGTTTTTTTTGATCTTCAATGTCTTTGATTCCTTCCTGCTTTAGAGTCACCTGCTACTCGTAATTATCCAGGGATTTGCAGGCGCTCGCGGGAAGGTAGATAATTCTTCTTGCTCTTCAGGATTGCTGGTTCATCATCTTCATGATCTTGCGTACTTGAACTGCAAGAGACACGCAAAACGCGTCTGTCTTTGACGAATACATTTTGTACATTTGTATACGAGATATAAAGCAACTTCCAACATTAACAATTACGAATCCTGGATTATTCTGCTTCATTAGCCCTCTTCCGTCTATCTTGGGTGATGTCGTCCAGTATTGCCTTGGCACCGTCCGACATCAATTTTATGGCAAGATTTCTACCCAGCTCCTCCGCGTCCTGTATGCTTTTAACTTCCTGCGAAAGAGTATCTTGGACATGAACGGAACCATCAAGTGATGTGACGCAGCCCGTTATCTCGAGGGTTGCACGCGTCAGTTTCCCATCGCTTTTATCAATCTGCGATAGCGACGTAGAGACGCCAACAGGAACACTACATCCACCTTCCAGCTCTCTCAACAATGCTCTCTCTGCAAGGCACTTCCACTGTGTTTCCTCGTGAGTTAGCGTTTTGCACAATTCTTGTGCTTCTTGATCGTCCGCGCGGATCTCAACTGCCAAAGCACCTTGAGAGACAGCGTGAAACAGTATTGGTGCGGTGAGATCTACGGTGATACGATCCCCCATGCCTAGCCGTACAAGACCGGCTTTGGCCAATATAAGCGCCGTATAAGGACCATCGGGGGCGTCGAGCTTCGCAAGACGGGTGTTTCTGGGGTTGATATTGAGCTTGGTTTGAAAATAAACACATAGCCTTACAAATTTCCCCGCTGCAAACATGTTAGCGTTTCCGATAAGTTCGTGGGCTGCAAAAACTCACGACGTCTAAAAACACCAAACCAGGGAAAGACCTCCGCAACTGCGCGACTCTCCGAACGCTACTAGTACCCACGACACTCCCTTCTGGTAAATCTTCGAGAGTCTTGTAAGGCAAGCCGTGCTTCACCACGAGACTATCAACAGGATTCTCTCTCTCCAATATAGCCCCCGATTTCGCAGCCGTGCGGTAGGGTCGTGGGCACATCTTTCAAACTATGCACCAGCATATCAACCACATTCTCCTTCAATGCAACTTCAAGTTCTTTTGTCCATAGCGCCTTCCCTCCGAGTAGATACAACGCTTGGGATTGGTTCTTATCACCCTCGGTCGTCATAAATGATGTGCCGAATGACAAGGCCGGAAATGCAGCCTCGAGGTCATCTCTGACTATGTTCGTTTGGATCTGTGCGAGGTTGGATGCCCGTGAAGCTAGCACGAATGATGTTCTTGAACTCGAAGCCATGGGTGCGTATATAGATAGTATCGCAAATCAAATTCTGTGGCCGTTAAAGGTTTCCTTATCGGGCAATCTTGCAACGAGCTCGTTTGTCTTCGTATCCCAAATTTTGACCAGGTGCTCGGTATTAAAAATCGAGAAGGTGCCTCCACCAGTTGCGAACATGGTCATGTTCTGTGAGTAGACGACTTTCCACACGTTTATGCGCCCAGTCTTGATCGAACCAAGGCTTGTCGTTCCACTCTCCACGTCCCATTGCCTTGCAGTCCCATCGAAGGATCCGCTCACTACTCGCTGACAATCTCGACTCCAGCACACAAACCACACTATTTTTGTGTGTCCTGTCCATTTCGCGATGAATTGGCCTATGTCGAGGTCCCACAACTTCACAACACTATCATCACTTCCGCTAACCACTTTCTTCCCGTCCGGAGATAACGCTATCGTCCGCACTCCGCTATCTCCGTTCTGCGAGTTGCCTCCTATCTGTTTCCCACTCTTCAAGTTCCATACCCGCAGCGAGCCGTCAAATGAACAAGTAATCATCCTCTGTCCGTCTGGCGGATGTATGACGTTAGTGACCCATCTGGCGTGTCCTTCATATTTCTGGTACGGCTTTATCGTTGATGTTTCCTGCCTTCCAATGATGGGTGAAGACATAATCAACTATAGAGCGCAGCTCAGTCGCAGTGTTCACCCAACAAAGTGTCAACCGTCACTTACAATGATGTTTCTCAGCACATATCGACACCAAGACACAATGGATGTATAGGTCAAGAGTACACTGAGCTGGTACGTTTTGCATGCGACATCTTCGTAATTACTTCACAGGTTGTATTATATGTTGTGCAGCTGAAGCGCCAGAGCCGCATTTGTGGTCATGAGTCCCATTCATCATTCACAGTTTTGATCCCCGTTTTTACTGCCTGGCCAATCATAATCATAATGCATCAGATCATAAATCCACATTTTCCCAGCCAACTCCTCGAGCGCGCTCGTCATCTCCGAGTGGTCAATGCTCGCTCGACCACAACTCGTACGCAAGGCATACATTTAACCGTGTCTCACTACACGGGAAATTATCCAGAACATTTGTGATCACTGACACCAACCACTGTGATTTTCACCCCTCTTCTATTGGTGCCCCAGCCAACACCGACCCCTACACTGATCCATCGTAGCGATGCACAGCACTGTGCCCATACTGTAGGGTGAATCTACATTACCATACTATGGAAGGCGGAAGTACATCATCCTCGCGTAGCCCAAAAATGAATTACCTGACACAACTTTACTCCACTATCCTCGTCAACATAGCATCAACGCACTGTAAACCTGTCTCTTCCCGGTCAACTGCTCCTTGAGGGTGATCGTCATCCTGCCGATGCTCGTACGTATCTGGTGTGTAAGACATGCAGTATTGTGTCTCTCGGTTAACAAAAATAACACTGGACTCCCAATACTTATCCCAGCCATCCATTTGATCTTTCTCCACAAACCTCGGCACAAATACATGTGGCTTTGCAACAACATTGAATGTGGTCAAGGGGATGTCTGTCCCGAGAAGCTCGGTGCGGCAACTAACGGGATGCACCTCTTGTGAGCAGTGATGACGAGGCTCGTCACCGTGAATCATTGCGTCAGACCAGAGGTATGTGCGCCCAATGTTTTAGCTTGAAGTTAATTTGGATGTGTAGGGTATGGCGCTTGCATGATATACATTGCAGTTGTATCTGTCAAACGCGAGCACAAGTCTGTACAAGGACCTTTTGTGTCCGATGTCGCACTCCTTTCGACATGGCGTCGTGGACGTTTAAGATATTTCCAACAGCCTACAAGCCACTCAAGTACCTATACTGTAGTCCCGACGGAGTTCAGACATACTAGCAAACTCCAGCTTGAGCTGGGTGGGGTTCCTGTCCCATCAAGCCGGGAAGGGTACTCATTACCACATCTGCTATCTTATCGATTCCTGTTCCCCGCGCAAAAAGGCGAGACCGTCACGCCAGAATGCGCAATTCAAATACCTCGCAAATATTTATAGGACATTTACGTTCCAGAACAGTCTCAGATCATGTAAATGGTTAGATCCATAGAGTCATTGTATCAGCCTATCAGCATGGCGCTGACGATTGAGTCAAGTAAAGTTTCAAGTTGACTCACTATCCAACGGAATGGCATAAGCATGTCACTCGGCAAATGATTGAGTTGCCTTTTAAGCGCCTGTCATGCAACCATCATAATGACTGACATGGACAAGCAGTCAATGGTCCGATCTAATGCTCAAAAAATACTTGATTCAGTGAAATCCTCCTTTGGCTGCGTACGATGTGATGAGGAATGCAATGAGTATGGGCTACTATACTGGTATTACTATTACATGCTACATACACGGTGGCTTCAGCCTGTACTCCGAGTCCTAGGCTACAGCTACGTGAGGTAAGTACATGTTCCCCGGATCAATTAATCATTCCGCAGGCTCCTCACTTCTCACGCAAGACACCGTCCTCAAGTTTACCGAACTTGACTCGTTGACGCCGCCCGGTCACCCTCGGAACCGCATCGAGTAACCTACATAAATGCATAGTTTTTTTTTCTGCAAATATCAAGCCCACTCAAAGTACGCTCGACCATGAGTACAGAACCCGCTTCACTCGCGTCACATATCACACCAGAGGGCCTTTCGGCCACTACTGACGAAAAGAAACCTGCTCTTTCAAAGGAGCTCTCGCCCTCGGACCACGTTACTCTGGACATGAAAGAGAATTCAATGGGAATCCGAGGCTTTCTCCCCTGGCAGAAAAAAGCATCCAAGGAAATGGAGAACAAAGCCGAGAACGCGGACGCAGTAGACACACCTGTCTCTGCCTCATTCTTATCGTTATTTCGGTGAGATCATCCCAATTTTCTGACCGAACGTGATGGTTGACCCTCACAGGTATTCAACTCGCTTTGAAATACTGATGAACCTTTTTGGCGTAATCTTTGCTGTGGCAGCTGGCGCTTCACAAGTGAGTTTTCAAATCCGCCAGCTACATCTTCTTATCTCCTATCATAGCCTCTAATGACTTTAGTATTCGGCGACATGACCCAAGATTTCGTTACATTTAATTCAGCTCAGAACGATTACTATCAATCGCTACAGTCTAACAATGCGAGCGAGATTGCGCAGGCTCAGCTCGCACTGGATGCTGCTTCTTCCGTATTTGTTCATAATGCCAGTCTGGATGCTTCTTACCTCGTCTATCTTGGTAAGTTCTTGATTCGATAAGAATCCGACCTAGTACCCACCTGAACTCGTACCAGGTATCGCGATGTTTGTTTCCACGTATATGTACATGTACACCTGGGTTTATACTTCAGAGGCTAATGGGAAGAGAATACGAGAGAGGTATCTTCAGGCCACCCTTAGACAGGAAATCGCCTACTTTGATGATGTGGGGGCTGGAGAGGTTGCAACGCGCATCCAAACCGATACTCGTAAGTCATACCGTGCTTTTCAAAGGTGGATGTTTGGAGTCACCTTGCTCTGAAATAGACTTGGTACAATTGGGGATATCCGAAAAAGTCACTGTTGCAGTCACTTGCATCAGCTCATTCGTCGTTGGCTTTATTATTGCATTTGTCCGGTCATGGCGTCTTGCTCTTGCATTGTCATCCATCTTTTTTTGCATCATAATCATAGGCGGCACCATGAAAACAGTTCTCTCCAAATACACGCAGTGAGTGTACTTGCTGCAAAGCTCGTCCTGAAGCTTTGATCTCTGTTCATTGCCAGATTGTCCTTGAAGCACATTGCTGAGGCAGGCAGTCTTGCAGAAGAGGTCATATCCACAGTTCGCACCGCGCAAGCTTTCGGGACACAGAACATCTTTTCAGGAATTTACGATAAGAACGTTGACGTAACTCGCATCGTTGACATCAAAGCTAGTATTTGGCAAGGTGTGGGTTTAGGCTGCCTCTTTTTTGTGAACTACGCTGGATATGCGCTGGCGTTCGATTTCGGAACTACTCTCATAAATGAGGGCCGGGGTTTGTACTTTTTCTGTGTCGTAAAAATGCATTTAACATTGGTTGGCAGTCAACGCCGGACAGGTTGTAAATGTCTTCTTCTCCATCTTAGTCGGATCTATGTCTCTTGCCCTGCTTGCGCCTGAATTACAAGGTAATTGTGGTCCCACGTTTTGGTTCGGAATTCTCATTGTGCCTTACTAAGCCATCACACGCGCTTGCGGTGCTGCCGCCAAACTCTTCGCTACGATCGAGCGTGTCCCTGATATCGACTCTGCAAACCCAGGAGGTCTCAAGCCTTCAAAGGTCTCTGGCGAGATTACGTTTGAGGAAGTCAAATTCCACTATCCGTCTCGCCCAGATGTTCCAATTCTCAAAGGCATCGACATCACCTTCCCGGCTGGCAAGACCACTGCTCTTGTTGGCGCATCTGGATCTGGTAAATCTACGATCGTATCTCTCACGGAACGCTTCTACGATCCCCTCAGTGGCTCCGTTACGCTTGACGGAATTGACTTGCGAGAACTGAATATCAAATGGTTACGCTCTCAGATCGGTCTAGTCTCGCAAGAGCCTGTGCTTTTCGCGACGACTATCAGGGGCAACGTCGCATACGGTCTCATTGGCACACAATACGAGGATGCATCTGACGAGGAAAAGTTCCAACTCATCAAAGCAGCCTGCATAAAGTCCAATGCCGATAGCTTTATTAGCCACCTGCCACAGGGATATGACACAATGGTTGGTGAGCGAGGTTTTCTGTTATCAGGAGGGCAAAAACAGCGCATCGCCATTGCGAGAGCTATTGTCTCGGATCCACGAATCTTGCTCCTTGATGAAGCAACGAGTGCCCTCGATACTCGCTCAGAAGTGATCGTACAAGATGCTCTGGACAAGGCAGCTGCCGGCCGGACTACCATCACCATCGCTCATCGCTTGTCAACGATTAAAAATGCAGACTGCATACTTGTCATGGGCGAGGGACTCGTACTGGAGCGAGGGACTCATGCGGAACTTCTGGCAGACGAGAATGGCGCATACTCTCGTCTCGTCACGGCTCAATCTCTCCGCGAGAGTCACAAAGATGACGATTCGGATGCAGTGATATCAAATGACGAGACAGATTTGGAAAAGTTTAGGTCAGAAGAGGTCCTCGATCGAAAGAGCACCATTCGTTCTATCGGAAGCGACGTCGTCAGTCAATTAAAAGAAAGAATAGAGGACCAGGCCCTAGAGGAAGAATACGGTCTATTTTATTTGATGAGACGAATTGCTGGTCTTCACCGCGGAGTGCTTCGCCGATACTTGATTGGATCTTTCTTTGCCATATGTGAGTTCGCGAAGCACATGTCATTGGCTGCGCTCATACATTTCGACAGGTAATGGTGCCGCTTATCCTGCCTCTGGTATAATCTATGGTAAGTCCTGTCATCAATCAAAACGGACGCCATTGATCCTGGCATGCACTGGCAGGATACGGAGTCTCCGGCTTTAGCGCGACCACAAATTCTGAGCGCAGCTACGAAGGAGACCGAAATGCTCTCTGGTTGAGTTGACATATTTTATTGGAGATCATGCTGGTACTTAACTTGAGCCAGGTTTTTCATTCTTGCCATTCTATGCGCCTTGTGTATGGGTTTCCAGAACTACTTCTTCGCTTCTGCTGCTGCTATCCTGACTGCCAAGCTCCGTTCATTGAGCTTCAAAGCTATCCTCCGACAAGACAGTAAGTGCTCAATCGCTACGTTAATTTTCTCACTCTTCTCACTCATCGAAACAGTTGAGCACTTTGACGACGACAAGAATAGCGTGAGTCTCATAGCTTCTCTAGCTCGTACAGAATCCTCATCAGAGTCTGCATTAAGACTGGCACTCTGACCTCAAACTTGAGTGAAAACCCCCAGAGGATCAATGGTCTTGCTGGCATAACTCTGGGAACGTGAGTATCGCCATTCATTCCAAAGTGGTCTAATGACTGACTTTGGTTAGAATCATTCAATCTGTCGCAACTCTAGTTATTGGCTTGGCAATTGGCTTTGCATACGCCTGGAAGGTGGCTATTGTTGGCATGGGTGGGTCCTGTTTTCCCAATTTACGCACTGCTCTTACAAATTTCATCATGAATCAGCATGTGTCCCTGTCCTGGTGTGCGGTGGCTATATACGTTTGGTACGTGACCTGCCTGAAAAACGCTCATCGTGCTAAACGTCTTCTAGCAAGTAGTTGTTCTGAAAGATCAGAGGAACAAAAAAGCGCAAGAAAGCTCTGCTCAGATTGCCTGTGAAGCTGCGGGAGCCATTCGCACCGTTGCATCATTAACCCGAGAAGAGCACTGTCTTGATATTTATAGACAGAGTTTGGAAGGACCTATCAGAAGATCCACTAGGACAGCGCTCTGGAGCAACTTGTTGTATGCACTCTCTCAGGCCATGGGTTTCTGGGTGATTTCTCTAGTCATCTGGTATGGCGCGACGCTCGTCTCGCGATCGGAGGTATCCACACAATCATTCTTCATTGCTTTAGTGGTATGGTTGTTTCGTCGACCTCTGGACATTACTGAAGCGAACAACGCATTGACAGAGCACGGTATTTTCCTCAATGCAGGCTGGTAACTTCTTTACCTTCGTGCCTGACATGTCATCGGCGAAAGGGGCCGCCGAAGCTACTATCAGGCTCCTTGATTCAACTCCTGCGATTGATGCAGAGTCAACCGAAGGCAAAAGTGTTCCGAGCGAGACTATCAAGGGCCGCATACAGCTGGAGAATGTCCGTTTCGCTTACCCCACCCGTCCCAGAATGAAGGTTCTTCGTGGTCTCTCGCTTACCGTCGAACCTGGAACCTATGTTGCCCTAGTCGGCTCTAGCGGTTGCGGTAAAAGCACAGTGTAAGTCTCGCCATTGTACCGTATTCGAACAGGTTGCTGAGAGTCCATCTAGCATTCAGTTACTAGAGCGTTTCTACGATCCACTGTCCGGACAGATCTCGCTGGATGGAGAGCTTATTGATGAATTTAACGTCAAGGCATATCGACAGCAGATTTCGCTTGTATCACAAGAACCTGTGAATACGGTCATGATATTGGTCTCTTGGTCGAGGGAGCTGACTGCTTGCCTTGCAGACTTTGTACGCAGGAACTATCCGCTTCAATATCTTACTTGGTGCCGCCAGACCAGAATCCAAGGTCACGCAAGAAGAAATTGAGGCTGCCTGCCGTGATGCCAATATACTAGATTTTGTTCAATCGCTTCCAGAGTAAGACCTCAATACTACGAAACTCTGGACTTACTGACGTGTTAATGTCAGTGGGTTCGATACCGAAGTTGGTAGCAAGGGATCCCAGCTGTCTGGAGGTCAGAAACGTGTGTATTATTCATGAAAGATATCTTCCTTTGCGCTGAAATCGTGATGCAGAACGTATAGCAATCGCTCGCGCACTGCTTCGGAACCCAAAGGTTCTTCTACTCGACGAAGCTACATCAGCCCTTGATTCGAATTCTGAAAAGGTAGTACAAGAGGCTCTTGACAAAGCTGCCAAAGGTCGCACCACCATTGCTATCGCCCACCGTCTTTCGACTATCCAGAACGCTGATCGCATGTGAGTCGATCGAGAGCATCGTCACTCGTGAACATTTTCTGACTACTTTACAGACATTTTATCAAGGAAGGCAGAGTCAGCGAATCTGGAACTCATGATGAACTTCTTGTGCGGAAAGGAGACTATTACGAGTTCGTCCAGCTGCAAGCACTCAGCAAGAAGTAGTAGAAGTTTAGAATAACGCCTAATATTTGACTCATCATATAATCACTGTCTCGTCTAATCAGTCATTTTTTTTTGCTTTCCAAAGCCATAAGGCCCAAACCAGTCGGAGGCGGGCATCAAAAGAAAATCCCTGCGGATCACAAACACCACAGTATCGAGCGACGTCTGCATCGATATCAATTCACCGCTGGCTGTAGCACGAGCTATACACACCTGAGACCCAGCCAAGTAAGGGTCCGTAACAGATGCTGCTCAAATTGGGGAACATATTCGAAATCAATACAGTTACAGATATGTTTCGGGTATGTATCGCATCTGTTCATAGAACTTTTTTGACCATGTCTCAGGTGACACTTCAAGGCTGCATCACTTTCTCGATAGGTGGCATCAAAAAGGGCCAGATAAACGTGATTAGAACTATTAGTTCTGGGACGCTCCTCCGCTTGCAGTAGTCTCTGGTGACAATCTTAAGGGCCGCAGTGAGACCCGATGTCACTTGATGAGATTGATACGTATACCAAATTTGCCCGACTGGAAGATATTTTTGGGATGATGGATGCGGAGATTGCCTAGGACTGGGGTAAGGATGGGATTAAGTCTTGAAAGAAAGAGCATTGACTTTGCGGAACTGCAGCGTGTTGACGATAGATTAGTAGTAACTGGAGCAGCAGTAGGTAATGAGATCGTGGTCGCGGACCGTGATGCAAACGATGATGGGACTTGGCAGTCTGTATCGGATACTTCTACTTAGTACCATCAAAATAAAATATATTTACTTACCAACTGCCATGCTCGCAGAACATTTCTTCTGGCCGGACCATTTTGATCAGAATAGTAAGTTCTGCCCATAACACCGTAGCTGCACTATCATGTGTTGACAATTAAATTTTTCACATATGCAGTATGGGTATCGAATTTAGGCTAAGGCTTGAGGCTGAGGATTACCAGGAATTCATCTGTATCGGCTAATACATGAGGCCTGAGGATTCACAGGAAATCAAATTGTCTGTAAAACATTTGAGCAAGTTTCCCGTTGTCTGTGTATAAAAGAGCCAAGTAATCACCCTTATTTTAACTTCAACAAAGAACATCATCCCCGTCCTTCGAAGTACAACAATGAAGTTCATCTCGCTCACCATTATGATTATGTCTGCCGTACTGTGCCGCACAGTTATGGCACAAGTAGACCCCAGCGGCGGGCCGTGCACCAACACTGGTGAATATCTTCAGCATACGTGTTTTGACCTCAGACCGTGTACTAAGTACGGGTGCTTGCAGAACAGTGGGCCTGCGCACTCCTCGCGGGTTATAACAACAACAAACCGTATATGTATTACTGTGCGCAAGACCATACTGTGGAGGTCGTGCAAACATGCACCTGTGCGGGTTGCTGTTATGTCGTGGATGGAGGTCTTAATGGCGCGAAGAAGAAATGTTGGTAGTCTATTATGTAACGAGGTACGAGCGGAGGAATAGAGTTTGGTCTTCGAGCGAACGTCGGACGTGGCACTACGCTTCTTGTCTCCGTGCCACATAGGGTTCAGGGAATTAGGGATCCCGCTCTGGTTGACCGGCTAATTAGCACGACCCACAGTGAGGGCCTAATTGACGAGTGTAAATGAAAGCAAATTCACTCAAATTCACCCATAGCTCTTTGACGCTGATTTGCGCTGATTTGCAGGTAAATTTGGTCTAATTGACCGTAATATACAACGAAGCTGCTTATCTCCATTCCGCCCACTCATCATCCATCGGTGTCGAGGACGAAGTCGTGGCCATCACCTTTGGCGTCGACGGACCTCCACGAGCAGCTGTTGGCTGTACAGGGTGGTCTGACAGAATATCGAGGAGGTACGTGGATGATATGTCAATGTCTTTACCCACATTGAACTCCGTGCTTTTCATGCCAGCTAAACCCACATAGTCCGTGCTATCACGCCAATCCCCGTCTTCATCATCCGAGTCTGAACATCTACCTTGATGTTCGTTGGTCAAGCTCGAAATGATGTCCGCGGTCACGATAGGTGGTCGAGTAGGTGGCGGGACAACAGGTGGTGTCTCAGGTTTACCGTGGATGGTTGCATACATATCTCGCCATTTGACGGAAGGAGCGACTGTCGGTTCTTTGCTCACGTCAGCTTGCCAGCGGTGCCACTGACGAATCTGTATATGTTCTTTTAATGTCGAGATGTCTTGTCTGCTCCGAGTGGGGCTGTTAAGCCACGTGATTGTTAAAACTGTCCTCTCGTCGGCCATCGACACTGGGACGACGGAGTATAACTTGATTGCAAGGGCCTGGACATAAGAGTGAGTCAAATAAAAAAAAAGATTGAATGAATGTTACCCCAAGAACTCGTGCGTTTTCGTCCTTTTGAACAGCTAACCACCAGTCTCGAACATTCTCGTGCTTGCGAATCTTACGGTTGAAAGGATCCGCTCCTTTGTGATACTCCTTGAGCTCGACCTTCAATGCCTGCAGAGCCTCTCGTGGAGTCAATCTCCTTGAGATGTTGTTGCATTTAGCTTTGCGATGGGGAGGACAATATTTACAATATTTCTGCGACTCGAACTTCACAATTCTTCGGATTCTCGGTGATCGTCCGAATCGGCAACCAAATCAACTTATATATTTTGACTATGACGAGCCAGCGTGTTCAGAAATTAAGCTTTTTGCACTGGTCCAGCCGAAACCAGCCGAACTGAATCAGGACCCAAATTCACCCAAATTGACACCCCGTTTTCGAGGGTCTGAAATTCACCCTGTCATTCACGGTAAATTAGCAAGGCAAATCAGCTGGGCAAATCAGCCCACCCCAAATTCCCTGACGCCTAGTGCCACAACATTCGTTCGCACTCAGAAGTATCGCCCTGCTTGTTTTATTTCCCCACCCTCCTCTCCCTTTCTTTCGTCGTTCCCGACTCAACATTTCCTCGCTGACTCCACCCAAGATTCCGAATCAACTGGGCCCGGAGGCCACCTGCATTCTGGTCACTGCGAGGAAGCCCTCCCTCCCTCGCAGCTCACCTCAATACACCATCATTACTGATTATACCTTTTCCATATTCGAACACGTCTAAGTGATCCTCAAAGACACATAGTAAGGAAAAGCCCGGGCAATTTCCATCGGTTTCTATCTTCCAAGATCCACCTTGGTCGTATCTGAGGGCCAGATAAACATGATTAGAACTATTAGTTCTGGGACGTTCCTCCGCTTGTGGTGACAATCTTAATGGCCGTGAGACCCGAATTGATGAGATTGATACGTAGACCAAGTTTGCTCGACTAGAAGATGATGATGGATGCGGAGATTGCCTAGGACTGGGGTGAGGGTCTTGAAAGAAAGAGCACCGACTTTGCGGGACTGCAGCGTGTAGATGATAGATTAGTAGTAACTTGACTCTTGAGTTGACAATTATATTTTTCACATATGCAGTTTGGGTATCGAATTTAGGCTAAGGCTTGAGGCTGAGGATTAACAGGAATTCATCTGTATCGGCTAATGCATGAGGCCTGAAAATCCACAGGAGAATAGAATTGTCTGTAAAACATTTGACCAAGTTTCCCGTTGTCTGTGTATAAAAGAGCCAAGTAATCACCGTTATTTCAATAACGAAGAACATCACCCAGCCCAGTCCTTCGAAGTACAACAATGAAGCTCACCTCACTCGCCATTATGATTATGTCTAGCCGCGAAGGCAACTCAAAAAAAGGCAGCCTATCCTTGGAAGATGTGACCTGGCACTGGCAACTTTACCATTACTGAGGTCGAAAAATCTACCTCTTGGCTCGCCATATACGTGACCCCCGCCTCCCGCCGTGGTCGGGGTGCTGCGCACGCACGGCGAGAGGGACGAACTCGCGGGAACGATGCCGGATATGGGAGGAACGGATGGAAAAGCGAGCGAGTGCCAGCGGGAGGGAGGCAAGTCTGTGAACGAACGAAAGGCTTGAGCATTAGGGGCAGAAGGATGTACAGTATGGAGCAGTAACTAAGTAGGTACTAGTAGTGTGACGAGCTCAAAGTTGATATAGTTAGAATTGAACGGACCTACGAGACTTGGCCTGAATTAACGAGGGACAATGGCTTCGAATGTGTGAGCCATCCGTCCTGCATGCTGGGCAACAAAAGGGAGGGACTTCGAGGTGTTTGGGGTTGAAAAAAAGAAAAAGAAGCGTCTAAAAATCGTCAGCGCAGGTCATGGCCAGTGGCAGCGTGCGAGAAGTATTACTCACTACTTTCGAGGGATGATATCCCCGCGCTCCTTCTTCGCGCGGTTGATTGCCCGAAGCAAAGCTGTGTGGCCCACAGTGGCCTCTGGATATGCAGCGAGGAATGCGGGCTCGTGTCCATCGAACCTAGTGTGTTGCATAGAATGATGATGGATGGGGATGAGAGCAGTTCGTGTGCCCAAAAATTGCGAAATCAACATCAGTGAACTCATGGATAAATTAGAAAGACATATATGGCAATATATAGTACATAATCACAAGCATGAGCATAACTCTGCTACTATCACCTGATTCGGAATGCACAATCGATGGATAATGCACAATGCACTCCAGAGCTCACCACTCTAAATATATTTCATTCGGAACAGCTGGTGGACAATTATTAGCATACATTCAATAATACTACCAATTCAAAATTTTAAAATCGGTGCTGTGAAGCCTTCCCGAGATGAAACATTGTGCGAGTGTGCCCAAAATGAGTGATTTTGGACACTAAATCCAAGATCCACCCAGATCCCATTAACCTATCAACACAGAAAGTTCAAAATATGTGAAATGCACCATCCTGAATCTACTCCAGGTGTTTCTATGTCAATAGGACACCACCACAGCATGCTATTCGCGATTCATGAGCAAAGCGTGACGGTCAGGCTAGATTGGGAAATCACACTCTCGGCTTGGTTGAGTCTCCGCTTTCTTTGCATTCGGCAGAATCGGCACATACCAGCATCTGTTCCTTTGAAGACACCAGAGGACATTGTTACATTACAAGGACAGTCGACCAATGTCAAGGACAGCTCGAGTTTTTCGCAACCGCCCTTCACCACATTCACAACCTCCTCTCACACGCGAGGATCGTGAAAAACGTATCAAGGATGCAATCGATACATGGCGTGGGGGTGAAACTAAAAGCCTCCTACAAGCAGCCAAGATGCATGGTGTCGAGCACATATATTCCACAGTGCGTAGGAGATGTGAAGGGTTGACTCTGCCACGAGACGAGGCGCATGCAAAACAACGCCAAGTCAAAATCAGAACTGGAGGATATTGCTACTGCTCTTTCGCTGTCAACCGAGGGCACGAAGTCTGAAATTTTAGAACGCATCAAAGGACACTTGGAGAATACTCCCGACCTACGCCAGGACCACCGCTTTTCTGGTCTTTACAACATCTCGTGGAAATCGGGCACCCCATGAGTCAAACGGTCATGCTGGATCTTCAAGAATTGACCATACTGCTCCCATTCAAGCTACACCATCTCAGCAGCTCGTTCCAAGCATCAGTCATGGTTGTATTTCACTTACTTCCATGTTTATTTTGTTGCTGATAATGTCTGAATAGCTATGCATAGTAACGGCGCTCCCTTCTCGAGTCAAGCGGCACAGCAAATGAACGGTCCTTTACCCTTCCCCTCATTTAATCCACCACCTGCATACCCACTCCATTATCCAGGTCGCGAGACACGATTCATGCAGCCAGTGCCAGCCCCAGAAGGGGCTCGTCCTCTTCGAACTTCACAAGACCCTCCCACCACCGGCTACATGCTGGGCCGTCCACTGGCAGATACATGCCTTACCCCCTGCATGGCCTTCCTGCACCATTAAATAGAGTTTCAGCAAATAATGATCACTCAGCACATCCTAGTGTTTATTACTAGATATTATTCCCTCAATGAATTTGATTTGGAGCTCGTTATTGAAGCTTGAAGTTATGAACGGTGCGGAACACTGGACTTTCATTCGCTTTGCACGCTGTCGGACTGTGAATATCATTGTGTATTGGCCGAGGTGCCGCGCGTGACATAGTGTGACGAAATTGTGCATTTCTATTGTGTTTTCGACACCTCAACTTCCAGTGCTGCCGCTGCAACAAGCTCGCAACAAAATTAAAAAATTCTTGTTGGGCCTAATGCACAGAGACCTAAAGTATACACTACAGTAGATCCGATACGAATATGTGTTGTTGTTGTGTTGCTATTCAGCAATAAGTGTAAATTGTGCATTTCCCGTCGAATGATAGTATTGATCGTTACATTTTAATATTTGACCTTATCGTAACGGCGCCTACGCGCCGAGTCCCTGACTCCGTTTTCGCACACCTCCATGCAACCTGAAATTCTAGTAGTTACCCCAGCCGACGTTCGGTTTGCCTGCCTTCACACTGCCTGTCTTGAATGGGCTTCATCCAGAGTACACACATGTATAAGACAGACTACAACAAATATTCAACGAAACCACCAGTACTTCTAGCAAACCAGAAACCTCCCAGACAGTTGAATGCCTGAATGATGCGGCCTCTTTAAACATGCCTACATCTGACCTCATCCAATGATACCAGAATCTCCAACTATGTGGACAACATGCCTGTCTTAGCTGCCTTCCTTGTTGGACTTCCTTGAGCAGGAGGACCATCAGCCTTGCATTTTGGTGAATTGTACATCAGGACTGGGCAGACAAACTTACTAAAAATGATGGCTCCTTCACCGTCATATAACTCGATTAGGTCTAGCACTGCAGATGACATGATGGCGAAGGAAGAAAAGCAGGGACCCTCACTGTGTCAGGAAAAAAAAGCAATGATCGAGTAAAAGCCCAGTGAATGTCCTATTCTGTGCAGTTCATGTTCAGAGCACATCGACATCATCCAAGTCCAAGTACGACATCAAGAGTCTTTTGAGCATTTCAATGGCCCGTATCTATTTCATAGGACTCTCACCAAAAGCACGTGCTCATCGTGCAGGTTGATGGGCAAAGTACATGGACATCATCAAAGTAAGACATCATACAAGAACATGTTGTGCAGGAGGGTTTGATGCCAGTCAACCCAAGCAAATTGGGTAGAGTTGGCAGAGGATTTAAGAGATGGGAAAATGTTTGAGTTCGACAAGACCCTCCTCCACTAACGTGGGAGGTCGGGGATACAGGAAACAACAGTTCCTGATGTTCATATCCCAGTGCGCGGTCTATATAATGCTCAAACTCATACTTGAAGGGGAAGGTGGAACCATTTGTGCACCTGCCCCAATATCTCTCTTGTCAGGCAACAGTGCAATTGTAAGGCTTTGTACCAAATCTCCATCACGTCAGTGACAATTTTTTATGTGAGCATAAATGCCAGTATCTTGCAGGGAACGATGATGAATTCACCTGAGCACCTGAGCAGAAAATCACCTTGTGTGTTGACTTCGGAGGTCATCTTTTTGATATATCTAATAGTTGTCAACTATATATCAGTTGCAGACAACGTCAGTGTATTCACTCGAGCGTGCGGCCAGAAAATTGTTTTGTGCTTCAACTTGAAAGGCCATCTTTTGCATATTTTTACAAGAACATCTAGACGCTTGGGTCCCTACCATTTTTCCCTAATCCTCCTCGTATCAGCCCTCGTGTCATACCCTTACCCCGACCTTACCCTCGTCATCCTTGTCATCCTCGCCTTCCCTTTTGCTCTCTACCTGTTGCTGCAGCAAAGCCAGTACATTTGGCCGGATCCTTTCGCTGACGAAGCATACCCATGCTCCGTTCCACCACCTGACTGATCCAGTGGATAGTCACCTTTATCCTTACCGTCCGGACGGTAACCTATGATACGATGCACGACGCATCCCCTTTGCCCTGTTCCCTTTCTTGATCTCTGACTCAGTGCGCAGTCGCACATGCGACTTATACTTAGATCCGCAGCTGCACGATCGTGCCCCTGCGCGTTTCACTTCTTATTTCGATCTTTGACTCACTTTCTTATCTAGCACGTTCTACCTCGACCGAACGTGCCTTCCTGTTATGGTTTTACCCTTACCGATTGCCTCTCCCAGTATGAGTTATCACCCACTAATACGTCTCCTGTCCTCTATATAAACTCGCTACCATGTACCATATTCCCTAACTTGAATCTACTTGGTTCTTGACCTCCTACTCTTAACTGAGTGATCCTTTCTGCCTTGCCAGCAGTCTATATTCTATCTTCTTATCTGCTCATCGCGGATAAGCCTATAGTCTCGACCTTTGCTCATCGACTTCGTCGACCAGCAAAGCCCCTGTTAACTAGTCGGACTTCTGTCCCTAATTAACGACGATCCTTACGATTAACCTTCGGGTGTCGTAAGCCTAGGCCGATATAGCTTATCGTCTCGCACCCGCGTGACATAAGCTACCCGATTTGGACATAGGCGTTAAATCATACTTGCCGAAGACCCGCCAAGTACGACCCCTAACCTTGGGCTAGCCCAAGGACGTCCTCGACCGTTGACGACACAAGCTCTGTTTGAGCGTCGCCAACAGATACCATCCAATCGTAACACATATATACAACAGTTTGTCAGATATATATCAATTGGGATTTCGTGCGAAAAAGCTTTACCTTGGCAGCAGTCGACAGTTATGCATTCATTCTGATCTCAGTGGTATCTATTCCAGACATCAATTGACCATTCATCGTTCTTCACTCACCATCCAACAGATGTAAGGTGTATTGCACCATCTATCGACGAAATCACATAACATCGTACATGACCAGAAGAGTCCTTAACGAGGACATCTTGAGGTTGTTTTGTTTCTGATGTCCGATGACCATCCATCGTTCTTCACTTACCATCCGACAGATGTAAGGTGTATTGCACCATCTATTGATGAATGCATCCTAACATTGTACACTACCAGAAGAGTCCTTAACGAGGACATTTTGGGTTTTTCTTTCGGATGTCCGATGAAGATGAGGAATCTAAACTGTGGGGAAAGTTGGTGCTAAGCTAAGCTAACAAACCAGATAGACCCGTGCGAGTGAAATCGTCATCCCAAGGGCAGCTAACTGAGTAAGGAACCTCTCTTTGTAAAAAAAAGAGGACACCAACACTAATGAAGTACTAGGGCTAAGTAATGCGCGAAGCGGAAACAATGCAATGTACAGAAGGTGAATGCGCGCGAGTGCAAAGGCGAAGGTCGAGGTGCACGACACGAAGGTAGTGCGCGCGAGCAAAGGGAGAGACAAGCGAGCAAGAGAAGCAAGAGAAAGACAGACAAGACAAGTGTTAACACCCCAACTAAGGTTGGCTGATGCTAAGACAAGACTGAGAACCGAAGTGCGCGACTTTAAATAGTCACTGTGCAAACAACAAGTAAAATTCTTAGTATCTAGAGACACACAGAAAGTGGGCGGAAAATCGACCTCAAAATAGAGTAAAGAGTAGTATATGTAAAGATGGCTAAGCGCCGCTAGCGTGCAGGTCCGATGTAGCGAGCCAAGTATGCTAAATTATATGCGAGATAGGTAATAGGGTCTTGGCTGCATGTTAATCTGCAAAGTAAAATATGAAGCACTACTGCGCGCAGACGTATCCTTGGGATTAGAGCTGGAGTGTGTAGGGAATGTGGGAGAATTCGAGGGAAGTGCCTTGGAGGCACGAGCTCTACAACAGTGGAGACTTTAAAATCTGACTGTCCCCAGTCAGCGCGCGCGCTTCATGCAAATGGACTTAGGGAAATTTTGACGAGAGGTGTCATGTGATTGTGGTCCATATTTTGAAAATGAAGCGCTGGCGATCAGCCTCATGACCTCAGGAATTAGCGCAGATGCTGACATAATTGTGGTTAGCGCGTTTAAAAGAGCGCTACATGGCAACGTGTTGTTCTCCTCATCTTTCGCCTTAATCGCGATATTCTAACCTTCTTTTCATTCATGTTGACTTTTGATTTAACTTTACTTGACCCTCCTTGCTTGCCTTCACCTGAGGCTCAGGCGCCTGTCGAGGCTGCGCCAATGCTCGAGGAGCCAGCTCAGAAAATTCCTGAGCCTGCACCTGTCGTCGAATCTGAGGGTGACCGCGTGCTCCGCATCTGGAATGCGCTGTTGCCGTCGGTTGGCATACTTTCAGGCTTGCGTCCAGAGCTCCTCCAAGAATGTCTGGAGGACATCGAATTGTGGCTCCACAAATGGGCACATTTTGAGGTGAGTGGCACGTGTCTTTGCATGTTTTTATTGATTGATGGGACTTATCTTCAGGCTAATGCGCGCATCTGCATGCGCGACATGCTGAAGGCCGAGACATTGCTCCCAATTGGAGACAAGGAGAAGGAGGACCTCTGGGATCTGAACAAGTGGGTGGCGGTGGCACGGAAAATGGTGAGCGGGTGGAAGAAAGCAGCAGAGGCGATCATGGTGGAGGTGTGCGTGGCTTGTGTAGATAAGGAGAAGGGAAAGGGAAAGGAGAGGGAGGAGAACCCAGACATGGGTAAGCCTGTGAGTATATTTCTACCTTTTCTGTCATGTCTGGCTGACTCTTTATTTGTGTTGACAGAAGGCGGGGGGGTGTATGTTGACCAGCCCCAAGACGCTTGACCCTCCTTGCGAGAACTGTGTCCAGCGTGGCATAAAATGCTTGCAGGGCAAGAACGCACACTGTGGACCTTGTGAGTGCTTGCACAGGGCATGCAACTTTGGTAAGTCATCTTTCTGTTTTTAGTTCTTTTGTTCTGATAATCGCTTATAGCTACCAAACGCAAGGCACCTGAGGCTGCCAGGCCTGCTCGCAAAATGCCTCATGTGGCTGAAGAATGTGCGCCAATGGTAGAGCCAACCACAGCTGATGATGCCGACGACTCTGGTGAGTCTGAGGTTGAGGTCATGGAGGTACCAAAGAAGGTGCGCCCTGCGCCCAGGCCAGTGAAGCCATTGCCTGTGCGCCCTGTCGCTGGGCCTTCGAGGGTTCGCGTGGACGATTCGGAGCTCAAGCGCCTTCGCACTGATAACGAGCATCTTCGGGCAGAGGTCGACAGGTTGTGTGCCTCGCAGGAGGACTACGACCATTTCGTGCAGAACCTCAACTACCAGGCCTGCAAACAGCAACAGGAGCTCATTGCAATGAGCAATCGCCTTTACTCATTTTCGGACGAATGGAGGGTGATGGGGCAGGAGATGGATGACTTCATTGTGGGGCAGGAGCATGCGCAAAAGTAGATAGACACTTACTATACTCTTTTCTTTTTCTTTTTCTCTGCACGCCGCCTTCTCACGTGTACTATATGCCTGTGTCTCTCCGCGTGCACACTTCACGCTGTACATACAAGAATATATCGGGTTCTCGTCATGTCCGAACATTTTCGTGTGAGCTTCACCTAAGTCCTGATCCTTTGTCCATGTCCATGTCCATAGAGTCCATTGGGCCTGGATATAAATGAAATAGTACTTGTGAGCAAACATGGTATAGTTAGAATGAAAATGAAGGATAATTAGTGATATACGTGTGATTGCGTGAGCTTTGCACTTGACTTGTCTTCTTTGTGCGACTGTCTGCATCCATTCCTGCTGTGAGTGATTATAGTGATTGGGTATAGTCTACCTAAAAGGTGTGTGGCGTGGCTTCGTGCATTCGAAATAGAAGGTCTATGTGGATGGTTATGCATGCGCGTGTCAATTAGGAGAACTTATCTGTATATACTGTTTTGGGTATTACGCGCGATGCATGCAATATAATAGAGTCTGTGTTTGTGTTATGTTCAGTGAATGGGCGGGTTATATGCGAGATGCGAGAGAGAAACTGAGATTGCCGGATGAAACCCGGGGTAAAACTGAGAGTAAATACTTCTAGCAAGACTGTGTTTTTGTGTTTTCTTTATTTTTTGCAATGTTTTTTTTGTTATTGTGATTGCGGGATGATATGTACAAGTGCGGGTGTCGAGAGTTTGAGGATGTGGGGGTGTGGATATGAGGGTGTGTGATGAGCGAGCCTCCGTGCGCTATTCATCTTGCGCACGCTCGGGTTTGTCTTCATTGGGTTCTATAGTTTCGTTAGCCTCTAAATGGTCTATACTTTCATCATCTATTCCAATTATCTTTGTGACGGATACACAATCTTTGCGACGCGGATAATATGGTATCACATGGAATGCGGCAAAGCAGAGCTTCAATATTGTGCCATCTAGCTTGGCGAGCATATAAGAACCTCCTTTCGTGCACTGCACGACCATCATCGGTCCGAGATGGCGCAGCTTGGTTTTCTTGCTGAGTTCATACTCGACTTTGGAGTTGCGGACGAGAACTAGCATGCCGGGTTTGAAGTCATATGACTTGATAGATGCGCAAAAGTGTTTCTCAAAATCGCGAACAGACTTGAATTGTGCTTTGACAACCTGATCTTTGATTGCATCAAGATCGGCTTCGCATTTCTGCAATTGGCGCACATGCCACGCTATAAGGTCAGCGGTGGTAAATGCACCTTGGCTCGGCAAGGGAGCGAAAAAGGTGGCTTCAGCTAAATCGAACAGAAATATAGGCTCGATGCCATGAACCATAAAATAGGGCGATAGGCCCATCGCATGATAAATAGTAACATGCTCGGCCCAGAAAACAGAATGAACAACTTGGTACCATCACGAGTCATCACTGTTGCAACTTTTGATGATGGCCTCCCAGACATCCTGGTGTCGTCTTTCAACTATACTGTTTGCCTGCAAGTTATATGGTGAAATGCGAATTGGGTGGATTCCGTACTTTCGTGCAAGTTCATCTACCACGAGTCTGTACATGGGGCCGTTATCAGTCACGATCTTGGTGATCAGACCCCATCTGCAAAGAAGCTCTTTGAAAATGAAAGTGGTTAGCATTTTGGTATTCTCTTTGCGCAACATGTGCCATTTGGGGTATGGCATTAGCGTGCAGTGCACTTGCATGAGATACTCAAATCTGCCCGCTCTGGGCATCTTCATCGTGTCGATATGCGCTTTGCGAAATAAACCTCCTGGTATCGGAACCGTTGGCAGAATATGCAACTTTCGCATCTGGTGAACCTGACAATCGTGGCACATTCGTGTGTACCACTTAATGTCTTTGATGATGTGTGGCCACCAAAAGCATAGTAGCAACTGCATGCACATGGTGTATACACCTTTATGGCCAAGGTCATTGTGCACTTTCTTAAGAAGGCGATATTGCTTGCGTGGCGGCACTACTAGCTGGTGTTTTCCGTGGGGTTCTCTTTGCCAGAGATTGCCCTCGAGAACAAAAAAACACACGGCGTAGTTGACAAACACTGCAAATTTGTGATCTGAAAGGTCAGCGGGTCTTTTGCGCGAAATAAAAAACTCTTTGGTTAAGACGAGCGACACGTCTAACGCTTGCATGGCCTCTGAGCGAGGGATGATCGGTTCTGGTTCTTCTTCCAGTGCGACATCTAAAAAGATGCAATGTACTGGTGCACGTGAGTCAAAAGATGTGTGCGCATTCTGATGCGCATGGCGGACAAGTTCCGTGCAACTGCTTGCGATGTGTTGCATTCTATCATTTAGTATCACGACTCCGAATGAGTATGCGCGATCTATCCAATCTTTGTGGTCATCATCCTCCTCGAGAGGATCCTCATTGGCAAGCGGCCTCCTTGAGAGACCATCGACACCTTTGTGCTTGGTTGTGGAAACATGAACAAGTTTGAATGAAAATAATAGAATGCCCGCGATCTATCGATTGATGGTCGTGTTAGGTTGCAAATCTGGATTATTGATCATACCTTTGATATATTTCGCATCGACTTCAATGGTGAAATTCTTGACTCCGAAAATGAATACACGAACTGCCCGAAGTGCGCGAAATAGTCCGTAGAGTTCTAGCTTTGCTTGCGAGTATTGGCTTTCCACCTCGTTCAATACTATGCTGCCAAAATGATTAGGATATTGCTTGCCATCCACGCCTACTTGCAGCAGAATGAACCCGATCACAATGTTGGACATGTCAACAGCGAGGATAACTTTGCACTCGCTCTCATAATCGAGGCAGCGAAGAGTGGGAGACTCTGTCCAAAGATGAACGGAACATCTTGCCTGGTAAGATTAGTTAGCGGGCGTGCTTTGCGCGCGAAATCGCAGATGAAAATGCGAAGAACGCCGCAGGTTCCCAAGAAACCATGGACTTGCAATTGGTTAGTAGGCTCTGGCCAATCTCGTATCTTCTGGACCTTAGTGTCTTCGGGTACTTGACCCTTGAAGGTACACTTATGCCCAACGATGACTGCGCTTGGCACGGTGAGAACAAATTTCATCGTGCTAACTGTAACACCAACATTTTCAAGCCACCGCAGAATGCAATGCATGACGGTTAGGTGTTCCCAGAAAAAGCAACACATGCTGAGATTTTTGGGTATGGTCTCATAAGTACCATCTGTGAGTTCATATCGCATCTCGATGGATTTGACCGCGATATTGTCAATGAACGGAAGTGTGTGCTTTGGAATCTCATCCTGTAGAATAAAGGCTACATCGCCTTGGAAGATCTGTGCTGCATTAGTATGACCTTGTGGTAAGGTGGTCAGCCTATGTGGGCCTAAAGGTGTGCCGAACGTAGTAAGGTCGCACGACTCTTCATGGAGCGCACACTGGTCATATCCAGAATACAAATCCATCATACCATATATCACATAACCCGCAAAAGATTCTGCAAGGTGTTCAACGAATGGAGGTACTGACACATTGCGAATTGTCACCGTGTTGAGTGGCTGCAAGTTGTGAACGAGGTGTAGTGATTTGCCATCTTTCTTGACTATGCAAAACCAGCGCGAGCGATATGCGGCCATCAAAGGCTCGTATATGCCTGATGCAATTTTCTCTTTCATGATGTGCGTGACTTCATCTATCGTTGACAGCGGAACTGGAATATTGTGCTGCGACCATGGTGCGTGCAGAACTGTCAGAATCTTGTATGGCAGGAAGCACCTTTCATCAAGGCGGCCGTGCTCTAATGCTTCCCAAGTGAACACGAGTTCATGCATGCAGACTAGCCAGTGTACTAGCTTAGCTTCCTCTGGCCATAGCCAATTTGCGGGATCAAAATTCAACTTATCCGCGCACACTTGCATGAGGCAGATACCTGGAATAAAATCAGGGGGGGTGAGTGGGTAATGGTATTAGTCCTACTAAAGGATCAGGCGGTAGTTCGCGAACAATGCGATACTCAGGTGGAGTAGCTGCAAGCATGCTGTGAACTTTCTTCGTGACTGGTTTGTATACCGCATGTGGATAATGGGATCATACTCATAACACACATTGAACATGGCTATGTTCGCAACATGGAATGCCATGCTGGAAGAGGTTAGATGCACATATAGCGCAGACTGAGGAAGAGAGAAACGAGAGTGCGAAAATGAGATGGGAATGAGAGATGATGATGAAATTAATGAATGTGATGTAGCGATATTGCTCCTTGAGAGTGAACAAGAGTGGTTATTGTCGCACGATATGCGTGACGCGAGTGATGAAACATTAGTGATATATGAAGAAGAAAATGAGTGTGATGGACGAAGCGAGGAGCACAAACACTCTATAGTGTCTCCCCACATATGCTGCGGATCATTGAAACTTAAAAATCCTGACCCTCGGCCTCGGCAACATTAACATGTGAGTGCATATGCATAGCTTTGCCGCAAGGCACGCCATGTACCATGACTTGGCAGTTTCTGACCCAAGGGAGGGTCAGGATGCACATTTCTTTGTGCATATTTGGATCCGTTAATAAAATGTCTTGTGCTCCGCTAGGGAGGTCGAATGTGCAACAAGAAGTGAGAGTGAAAAATGGGCGGCCAAGCAGAACCTCAAAGTTTGTGCATTCCGTTACCTGAACTTGGAAGTACATGGGACCTCCTCCAAAATCAAGTGGGATATTTTCAATGATGCTGAGCGTCGAATCGCACGAAGTATTTACCGATGCCATGCACATGCAGTGATCTGACCGTAGACCAACTCCAAGTGATTGCCAAACTTCCCTTGGCATTACGACGACTTCTGCACCCTGATTGAGGATGCAGGTAAGTGTCTGGCCACCTATGGTAGTTGCGCGAATACACCTTGGCGGCGCGAAGTGATCTGCAACGATGCATCCATCATTGCTACGCGAACGCACATCTTCATACTCGCGCATCCAATGATGCGAAATGGGGTGGCTCGACAGCTCGTTGACTGAGACTGTCGCGACAG